AGCGCAAGGAGGGCGCTGAGAGGATGGTCCGGGAGGCCGCGCAGCTCCGCCTCCTGTTCCGGAAACTGGCCGCCGTGAGTGCCACTCTGGTTCTGTGTCATCTCCCACCCCCCAGGGCTGTTGAGGCCCGCTGGTCTGGGCCAATCCCGTCACGGACCAGATGACCAGTCGGTCCTCCTTGTGAGCATGGGAAGGTCTGTTGGGCCTTGTGGCTGGGATGGCTTCTAGGGCATTACTGCGAGCCCCGTGGGAGTGGTGCTGGCCAGACTGGTCTCACCTCTTGGGCTGCGGGCCCCCCTGCCTGCAACGTCCCTGCTGAGGGCACACAGGACAGCTCCCCTGTGGGCCAATCCTGAGCCTTCAGTGGCCACTTGGGCCACAGAGTTCCATGGACACTCGGCCTGTGTCCCCTCATGGAGCTTGGCAGCTGCACACACATTTTCTTCCAGGGCTTTGGTGAGGATGCGGACGGGCACTGTGACACCATCGTGGCCATCGCAGAAGTTATTAAGCTGACAGACCCGTCACTGCTCTACCTGGAAGTTTCTACACTGGTCAGCAAATACCCAGACATTAGGTAAGAGCCCATGGGCTGTCTGTTTCAGCTAGAAATTGTGGAACAGAGCAGTAAGCTCATTCCTAGGGTCACTGACAAGATGGAGAGGCCCGACCGTCAGGTGTGAGCACCATTGGGGGTCCCAATTCCTGGGAGGACAAGCTGTGTGGATGATAGCCAGGAGCAGAGTGGGCACATCTGTGTGCCTCTGCATCCCCTAGCCCTGCTGCTGGACCTGGAGCCCATGGGTTCCCAGCCTTGGGTCACACACCTCCCAGGTGTCAGAGCACAGGTGGCCTGAGTGCAGTTGGGACATCACCACACTCTGCACTGGGGGAAGGTGGCAGAGCAGAGTGGTTTCTGGAAGCTCGTCTTGTGCTCGTGGATTCAGGGAAGGGAGCACAGGTGCCTGTCACATGTGACCAACCCCCCCCCCCAACCTTCCTGTCTCAGCCAGCGTCTTTCCGTCAGCGCTGTGGGTTTGCCTAAAGCAGGACGAAGTGGTGTTCCTGGGCTCACCAGCGTCTCTCACTCTAGCTAGGTGGTCTGGTAGAGGGTTAAGAGAGCAGTTTAAGAGACTTTGTGATTGTGGGTTGAAGGGAAGGGGCACGGTGAGGGGAGAACTCTGGTTTCTCTCCCCTCCTATTGCAGGGCATGTGCCGCTGTCGACCCTGCTCTGGGGCCTCCGTGTTGGCCGAGCCAGGCCGGGGGAGTGCTGGGGGCAGATGGAGTTGGATGTGGGGGGCGAGCGGCGGGAAGCACACCCCCGACGTGCCTGTGTTCCCCGCACCTGCAGGGACGAGCACATTGGCGCACTCCTGGCCATGCGAGGGGATACGAGCCGGGACCTGAAGCAGACCATCATCGAGACGCTGGAGCAGGGCCCGACACAGGCCAACCCGAACTACGTGCCCATCTTCAAGGAGATCATGGTTCCCAGTCTGAACGTGGCAAAGCTCCTCAAGTAGCCTACCAGGCCCCAGCCCTGGAGATGTGTGGCCGCCAGAAAACCCTGAGATGCCCGGGACCCGCGGGCCTGCATCTCCCGCTGCCGCACTCACGGCGCCTTAAAGAACAAGTACTCTGGTGGCCCTGGTACTTCCGGCTTTCTCGTGCTTTATAACGTCCTTTGTGAGGCAGGCTCCGGTGTGAGGGGCCTCGTGGTGCCTGTCCCTCTTGACCCCTGGGTCTTCATTTCTACACAGTGTAAACACTTACAAACTCGGCTTCTCAGTAAAGTCTGACCTCCTGCAGGGTCTGAGGGTGTCCTGGATGTGAAGGTGTTCTTGCTAGGGGGTGTGGTGAGCGGCCAGGGTCTACAGGCAGTGGAGCCCAGAGATGCACCCAGCAGGGTGTTGGCTTGGGATTCTCTCCCTCCCTCCACCCCTTCCCCACCCCACGGGCTTGTGCCCTCTCTAAAAAAAAAAATGTGCCTGTGACACAAGAACTCAAGGATCTTGGGGGGCAGGATCCATCCTGGGTGGACGAGATTCACCTGGGGGTGGGATCCACCTCAGGGGGACAGGATTCACCTGGACATTTGGGGGCAGATGCAATTCTGCCTCCTCCGTCAGTCTCATCTTGGCCTTCAGACCGTCCCTGCGCATCTCTTTTCAGTGCTGCGCCCCACCCCCCTAGGTGTCTCGGCCGCCTCCTCCTCCTGCTCTGGCCGGGTGGGTGCTGCTCTGCCCTTTCTGGGCACCTGTTTGCTGTGTGCAGTGATGAGTGTGAGTAAGCGAGTGAGCACAGGTGCCCACCCGTCTGTGCCTGGGAAGATCCAGGTCTCAGGCCCCAGGGTAAACCAGCAGTCGTGTCCCAACAATCTCCCTGCACCGCCCGAAGGGGCTGCCTCGGACGTGTGTGCGCACACAGACGTCGATGTTAACCTTAGAGCCAGAGCACGGCTCGCCTACAGCAGACTGTGTCTTACGTTCTCCTGATGTGATTGCTCACAGTTACCACCCAAAGTGCCCCGAAACAGCTTTTCTTTTTTAAGACTTTTTTATTTGTTTATTTGACAGACAGAGATCACAAGTAGGCAGAGAGGCAGGCAGAGTGGGGGTGGGGGGGAAGCAGGCTCCCCGCTGAGCAGAGAGCCTGTTGTGGGCTCAATCCCAGGACCCTGGGACCACGACCCAAGCTGAAGGCAGAGGCTTTAACCCACTGACCCACCCAGGCGCCCCGCCTTAAAACATCTTTAATAGACAAGATCATGCGGGTGTGACAGGGTGTGACAGGGTCTGCGGCAGGACCCCTGCCCAGCATGCCCAACGCTGTAAGGCACATTGTTCTGTGATCACAATTACACAAAATTTGACGAAGATTATTCACAAAATTAACATATGCAATTTACACCAGTCCTAACTTAACATTTCAAGTTCCAATGAAATTCTTTAAATCTCCTTTCACGACAGAAGATGACTCACTAGTACACAGTATATAAGCACTGTAACAAAATCATTCTCAAGAAAACACAGAAGGGAAAGAGCAACTCCTATCTTTGTGTTCTTTACAGTCTACCAGAAAGTAGGCCAAAATTCAGTATTAAATAAATAGGAATTCTTTTATAATAAAAAGTTTTACAACAGTTTTCCTAAGGAAATACATTCATGAGACTTTGTTTACATTCTGTTTTACAATGACAAGAATAGCTAGGATTCTCATTTATGAAGTGTATCCACAGCACGAGCCTGCGTAAGACTGTCCACGGAGGAAACACCACAGCTCTCTCGCGAGCACTGGCATGTGGGGCTCTGCTGGGAGCTTTCCCACCTGGAACTGCAGCTCCTTTAGGGCTGCACTCGGCCCTGGGCCCATCCAGGACAGAAAACACCAGCTGAGAGCAGAGCCTCAAGACCCTCGGTTTACTCTTTCTGGGGTTGAAGGACGTGCCTGTGAGCCGCTCTCCCTGCCTCAGCCTCTAGCTCTGCAGCGGGGCGTGGGGTCCAGGTCCAGCGATCCAGGTGAGTGGTTAAGGCAGCGAGATGCCGGACCAGCTGGGCTACGGACTCCTCCTGGGGTGCCCTGGGCGGCAGGCCCTAGCCTGACCTGGCTGCAGTGGACGCCTTCCTGGAGGTGTGCTTGGATGCTGTGGCTTGGTGACCAGGCTGGCCTGGGGGCAGTCTGTCGGGTCACTAACCGGCAGGTTTTGTGGCCCCGATAATGGCTGGATTCTGTGCTCACGGAGTGGGTCAGAATGGTTGCACAGTGTGGGGCAGAACTACAGAACCCGCCCCCCTCCCCACCTGTGTGTGTGACTTAGGCGATGGGCAGATCTGCTCTCAGGGTCAAGAGCTTCGTGCTGCTGAGCAGATGCCCCGGTGACTGTCCCTTGTATTTCTCAACAGCAAAGGTGTGAACAGCAGATCGCACACTTTCTCGCCAGGGTCTCAGTGTGCACTATGAAAACACTGGAGTGCTATCAGGCCTCGCCCGTGATGGCTGTGACAATTTGCATCAACAGAACTCAGTCACAGCACAGCACTCTCTCTTTCCTGAGCAGGGCTGAGCTGGGCTTCTTTAGAAGAGCTTCTAGGAGTGTCCGTCTGAAGGCCCTCATCCCTCTGATCTTTACTACCTCTTCCTCCCACAAAACCCTGTCTGAGCAACAGACGAGGACGGATGAGGGCCTCTTTCCTGGATCATTGTGGCAGCCACCTCACCGCACCCTCTCATCTGCTCCCCCCACAGGACAGCCAGACAGTGGTCTCCCTCCAGAGGATCGGGTGTCAGGGGGAGGGTGCAGCTCTGCCCAAGGCCATGTCCCTGAGACCCTGGAGGGGTTGAGAAGGGGTCTGTGTTATAGCATTCTCAGGGCAGGCCCAGAGGTCCTATGAAGGTCTGAGCCCTGCTCCAAGTCCCTTGGCTCTCCATGAAACAGCAGGTCCCCGCCCCACCTGGCCCCGGCCCCAGTAAGCTGCTATGTGAAGGTCCCCTGCATTCAGCTGGAGCTGTGTAGACCTGCCCACGTGGCCAGTGCAACCTTCGGACGGCCCGGCCATCTCCTAGCAGCAGGTG